TCTTTGCTTGAGCGCGAGCTTGCTGGGGAGAGGGCTTGCGGGCCGGAAGGGTGGGGGACTGGTAGCCCCAGCAGACCTGCCTCCCCACTGCCCACCCTCTCCCGGATCGACCCCGCGCCACTGGGGATCAGCCTCTGGTCAGTGTCCGCCCCACCAAGGCCCCCCAAGGGTAAAACTGTCCATCACACGGCAGCCCTAGATGTCCTGGGGTGCAGGGACGACCACCTGCCCAGGTAGCCTTGACGCGGGCCCCTCAGCACATGCCCCGTGAAAGCGAGGCAAGCTGCCCCCCACTCTGAGTGACCGCAGCGCCCACAACCCTTGCACCCGGAGCGGTGAAGCCCGGGGACGCGGAGGAGGGAGCCCCACTGGTCTGCTGGCATCCGGGCGGCGGCACGGGGCCTGGTCACACCGGCTGGTGGCTCTGTCCAGGGCACTCAGCCGCTGGCCATGGGGCAGGGCCTCTGTACGGAGCACCTTGGGGGTGTGTCACTAGACCCTTTTGGGCCAGGGCAAAGCAGGGTGCACCCGGCTCGGTGCCCGCGGGACTCGGTGGCTGGGCACGGAGCCCCAGGCAGCAGGACGTGAGGCGAGGGCATTCGTGTCAGCAGGGGGCTGGGGGGCCCGAGGCTCGGGTCCGATAAAGGGACGATGACGCCAGGTGAAGTCGAGTCCTTGACGCCAGTTCAGCTCTCAGTGAGGATTAGAAACTTCCCCCAGACCTCATAGCTAACTCAGCATGAATTTATTATTTCACAGGCCCGCAGGCTCCCAACGAGGTCTTTGGGCTAAGATGAGGGTGTGAGCAGGTCTGTGCTCCTGCTTGAGACTTGAGGCGCCCCGTTCCCAGCGCCCAGAAGCTGCACCGCCAGGGCTCCTGGTCCCGTCTCCATCTTCAAGGCCGACAAGCAGCACCTGACCCCTCCCCACCCCGAGGAGCCAGGCGATAACCCCGAGCCCACGGGGCGGCTCCCGGCGTGCAGGTCCCTTGCGCCCACCCAGCTTGTCTCCTTGGCCGTGTAAGGTGATGGTCCAGGCCCGGGCACAGGGCACCGGCATCTGTGAGAGGCTGGCACAGCCGGCCACGTCCGCCCGGCCCGCTGTGACCAGGCCTCAGCGCTTTAGCTGCTCTGACCGGGACAGCACGGACGAGGGGAGGCGGGGGCAGGGCTGCGGGGGAACTGACCGCTGGCTGGGAAGGGCCGAGTGTGGTTCTGCAGCAGGTGGCCCGGACCTGGGTCCTTGCCCCACTGAGCCGGGTGGCCTTGAGCGGGTCCCACAGCCTCTGCGACCAGAAGCATATACAAAAGTCATGATAATGCCCGGCATTGGGTGCCCCAGGAAGCCACCTGCTATATCACTTCAAAGCAATCTGTGTGCACGTGAGAGCGGTGGGTGACCACTAACGAAACCCCCCAGACCATGGCACAGCCCCAACGGTGTTTGAGGAGGTTCTTCCCAGCTGAAGGAAGGAAGGCTTGGGTTTGGACAGGAAAAACGTGAGGGACTAGGGTATGTTTTTTTTTTTAGCCAGGCGAGGGTGGCTTGTCCTGCTGGGTCCGGCTGGCCAGGGTGGGGACAATGGGGGGGTGCGGCTGCCAGGTCATAGTGGGGGCTCCCTTTATATACACGGCCCCGAAGAGAGCCTGCAGACCAGGCCAACGTTACCAGCAAGAGCAGGAGGGCAGGCGCCGGCCATCCCCCGCCTCCAAGGCCAGCTGCAGCCTCGTCCAGGGGCCCGACCTGCAAGCATGACGGTCCGATACCGCAGAAGGAGCCGGAGCCAGCGCTCACACCAGGGCCAGGGGCAGCAGGACAGACGCCAGGAACAGGAGCCAGGGTCAACCTCGGAGGACATTCAGGTGGACAGAAGGACCCACCGCGGCCGCTACCACTACAGACACAGACACTGCTCGCGGAAGAGGCTGTACAGGGCCCGCCCCGGCCAGCGGCGCCGGAGACACACCAGCAGGAGCAGGAAGCACGGCAGACGCTCAGCAGGTAGGAAGCCCTGGCCCCGGCGCCCACGCCCATAAGGTCCCAGGAGGCCCCAGGACCCCGTCCCCACCCTGGGTCCCTATAACCAGAACTTTTTTCTTCTTTCAAAAGGTAGCAAGAGGGGCAGAAGATGCAGGAGGCGCTAAACCTCCCTGGGCACAGCCTGGCCCTGGCGGGAACTCCACCTGCCAAAGAACCAGCCCACGAGACCATAGAAACCCCCTATGTTGGATGTTCAAGCCTTGAGCTGCCAAGAAGTCCACCAGATCTCGAATAAAATCACCAAATAAAGCTTGACTAGAAACTTGCTGGTCTGTCAGTGTCTTTCATAAAAACGGCACAAAATTGGCACCCCTGGGGGGTGGAGGGCAGGCGGGGGGCTCTGCACCCCCACACACGTCCTCTGCCGCCCGCAGCCACGCGAGGTCTATTTTGACTTTCCCATGTCCTCGTCATTGCCCTTCAACCCTGCAGGTGAACGGCCTGAGGTGGTAGCAGGTCTGCTCCACTCCAGCCAGAACAGGCCCCTTGTGGGAGGAGCAAGACGCAGGGGTCTGGATTCTGTGAGGCCCAGAGGCCCGTGGGCCAACACAGCAGTGACCATGTGCGCCCCTGGCTGTGGCCAGGGCCTCCTTGTGAAATCCGTGCCCGTGTGTGGCCGTGGGAGACGCAGGGGCTTGCATGTGGCGCCGGAACAATGTGGCGTGGAGGGCGTCCTTGAGGGCCGTCCTGAGATTTGGGGCAGAGGACGTGACTCCCACGGTTTTCTCAGGTTTGGGAACGGCCAGGCCGCCTCACAGTGGCCCTTGCTCCCTCGGCCCAGGCTGACACTCAGCGGGTGTGGGGGCCCAGGTTAGGTCTCAGCAGCCGCGGCAGGTGGGGTGGGAAAGGGTGAGGTTAGGTTGTGTAGCTGATACGCAGAGGCAGAGTCGTAGGAACTGCCTGGGCCAAAAACTACATTTCCAGCCCCCAAGTTCCCTGTGTCCCCCCAGAGGCAGCTAGTATGCTCACGTATCTTCATGCTCTCCAATTTCCAGAAATTCTAACCCCAACTGTTTTTTTTTTTTTTCCTTCCTTTTTTTCTTTAGGTGACATTTGTATATATTGTTATTTGTGTTCTGGAAGTATAGGACGTCCCCTTTCAGGTGTAATTACCACGCCACACTCACCACTGAAAGCACCCACAGCCCCCCATTACAGTCCATGGTGCTCCCACCCTTTTTTCTCACCCTTCCCTTCCCCGCAGATGGCCTCAGTTTGGGTTTAGATTTATTTATTTGTGCATACAGAACTGGGGTACGGGCCAGAGGCTCAGGGGCAGTGAGAGGCTTCACCAGAGACAGAGTGGGGAGCGGAACAGGCAGATGGATGAAGTACACTGCTGAGGGGAGCAGCGGGCGGGTCAGGAGAGGTCTGCCGCGCCCTGTGGTCACCTCCGGGGCAGGCAGGGATCGAACTCATGTGGAAGTGGCCTTAGATTCTCAGTGCTGTGCTTTAACCAGCTGCGCCACCAGGGAGGGCCGGCCTCAGTTTTTTAATCAGCTTTTCTGGCTTTGTTAGTTTGGCTTTATCTGATTCTTTGTTTGGTTTCCCTGTATTCCACATATAAGTGACACCAATGAGTACTTGTCTTTCTCCTTCTGACTTATTTTGCTTATCACAATCCCTTCCAGCTCCATCTATGTTGTTACGGACTTCTATATTTTTGATAGCTGCATAGTATTCCAATCTTTCTGATGTACTCATCTGCATTTGGTCACTTAGTTGGTCTCCACAGTTTGGCTATTGTGATAGTGTAGCATGAATCCCTTGCTCTTCAAATTAGTGTTCTGTAGCCTTTGGGTAGATGTCTTGAAGGGGAATTGCTGCATCGTATTGAAGATCCGTTTCTAATCTTTTGAGAAACCTCCATATTATTTTCCCTGTGTGCTGCATTTCCACTGGCAGTGTAAGGGTGTTCCCTTTTCTCCACATTCTGGCCAACACTTGCTGTTTTTGGTCTTTTTGATATGACCCATTCTCACAGGTATGTGGGTGATCTCACATTGTGGTTTTGATTTGCATTACACTGAGAATAAGTGATGACGAGCATTTTAGTATTTGCCTTTGGCCAGTTGAACATCCTTGCAGAAATGTACATTTAGCTCTTTTGCCCATTTTTTGACTGGGCTATTTGTTTCCTTTCTGTGCAGTTATATGTTCTTTGTGATCTTGGCGATCAGCCCCTCGTCAGATGTATGGTGTGCAAATATTTTCTCCCATTAAGTGTGTTGTTTTGTTTTGTGATGATTATTTTCTCTCTGCAGGAACTTTTAAGCTTGTTTTCCTTGCTGTTGGAAGTAAATGCACAAAGACATCCCCAAAACCTATGCAGGGGAGTATTTGCCTATGTTTTACCCATGTATTTTACAAATTCAGATCTTATATCCAGGCATTTTACTCTTTGAGTTGATCTTTGTGTGTTGTGTGAGGGAGAAGCCCAGTTTCATTCTTTTGCATGTGGCTATCCAGTGTCCTCAGCACAGGCTTTCCATGTTCTACTATATATAGGACACACACATACTTGCGCCCACATATTTACAAGAGAGATATTTTTCTTTTTAATAATATTTATTTATTTATGCAGACACAGAGTGGGGAGCAGAACAGGCAGACTGAGGGGAGCAGCCGGGAGACAGGAGAGGTCTGCTGCACTCTGTGCGTACCCCCCCCCCGCCCCCAGCCAGGGATCGAACTCGGCCTGCAGTGGTTCAACCCGTTGTGCCACCAGGGAGGGCCCAACTCTTGATCCACCTGAAACAGGCTTTTGCCAGAACAAATGAGCCAGACGGAGGCGGCGACAGGGCAGAGAGAGGCTTGTGCCAAGCTGTGGCCCAGACGCAGGAATCCGAGAGCCCCCAGAGGCCCCATTGTGATGTCAGAGCCCCACCTCCCACCCTCACGGCCCCCCGCTGCCCTCGGGGGCCTACCGTCCCGGTCCAGAGACGCAGCCAGAGGGGACGATGGGTTCCCGCTGCGCCAAGCTTGGCACGGGCCACAGCCGGGGCCATGAGTCCTCCATGAAGAAGCTGGTGGCCTGCGTGAGTCAGGATAACATCTCCCTGTCATCGGAGGGCGAGGAGGAGGAGGAGGAGGAGGCAGAGGAGGAGGAGGAAGAGGAGGAGGAGGAGGAAGAGGAGGAGGAGGAGGACCTCCCCGGGCAGGGCAAGCTACTGCTGATGGAGGCTGAGCAGCAGGAGGAGAGCGCGGAGGAGGACACCGCGGCCCAGCAGAGCCCCGAGCCCAAGCAGCCCAAGCAGACGCGTTCCTGACCGGGCCTGCCCCGGAGCCTGGTGACCCGGGAAGAGGTGGCTGCCGCTGTCCCCGACAAAAGGACTTTCGGAAAAGAGTCAATAAAATGTCTTCCAGGAATTCTCCTTGCTGGTGTCCTCCACCTTGTGCAAGTGTGTGAGTGCGTGTGTGTGTGCGTGTCGGGCTGCTCCGAGACTCCCGCCGGGCGCCCTCCTGGGGGTGGTGGGAGCCCCCCAAGTCTGGGGGGGCGTCCTCTCCCTCCACGAGCCCCGTCCAGCTCTTCTAACCGTGGACACGAGGCCGCCCGGTGCCACCCGCATCCAGGCCGAGTCCCCCGACTTCCCGCGGTCTCAGGGACTCGGCTGGCAGTTGGGCTCGAGTTTCTTTTCTGTTCTGTGACCAAGAACAAGTCATCGTCCATCTCCGAGTCCCCGAAGGCCCCTGCTGGGACGAGAGTGAGGTCGAGGGCGGCCCCACCGGCCGTGGGCTGGGGGAATGATCTGTGGGTGAGCGTGGGCCCTGCCCACGGAGTGGTTAAGACTGGCTGCGCTGGAGTCTGGGGGTTCCACCTGCCTCTGCTGCTGCCCTCATGTTCCGGGCGACCCCCTGTGGGCTTTATCAAGGGGTCCCACTGGTGGGCAGAGCCCAGCCATCACGAGCAGCCAGAAACGCTGCTAGACACGCGCAGAACCCAGGCCGAAGCCACCAACCCCCCTTCTGGATTTGAATGCGGGCGCTGGGCTGACGAGCTGTGGGGCTCCAGCCTGCGCCCGAGGCCCTCGTAACGATGGCTGCTGCCCCCCAGGACGGACGAGACTCTGCTGTGACACACCGTTACACACGTGCTGGCTTCAAGCGACGGGACACAGCTGCCCACATTCTGGAGGCCAGAGTCTGAAATTAAGGCGCTGGGGCCACCCCCACCCCGGGGGAGGTGCGGGGGAAGCGTCTCCCTGCCCTATCAGACCCTGGTGGCGCCAGGCCTTCGCGCCCCCCAACCCCTGGCCTCTGCCTCCTGCCGTCTCCGGGTCTCCTGTCCTCACAGGGACACGTGATCCGGGTGCCGTCCAGATCTCGGCCGCAATCACATCTGCTAGATGCTCTTCCCCTGGCAGGGGTGAGGGTGTGGACGTTATTTTTGAGGGCCATGCTGCCTAGAAGTGGGGGGACCTGGAGACTCCCCACACGGGGAAAGTTCTGTCAAATGGGGGTGATGTTCACGGTGAATCTCATGTTTATTAAACACAATCTGCTCACTGAGAAATCAGCTGTAATGGCAGCAAATTCTTGTATAAGAGGCAAAGGTGAGGTGTAGGAGAGGGAGAGGCGGACCTGGGGGGCCCTGTCAGGCCAAGGGGATTTAATGGGGAAGGAGGGGAAGCGGGCAAGTGGTGAAGAGGTAAGGCCGTGGGCCCGTCACCAAGTTGGGGGGCTGGGGGCTGTGGACAGCACACCCACAACAGGGCCCTGACACAGGTTAGAGTGCCCCCCATGGAGGAGGCAGGGCCGAGCGGGTGGCAGAGGCCAAGTGAAGGGGCGAGGTGGGACCTTGCAGGGCTCCCAGGGCCTGCCAGGCCTCTCGGGCTCACACACAGGCCATGGAGGGGTGCAGTCCTTTGTCAGACAGGAAACCCGACCTCAAGTCCAGCATGTCTTATCTATGACCGGACATAGGTGCAAACTGGGATCTGGACATGGCTCTAAATCTCTCTCCTGACTATTTTTTTTTTAAAAAGATTTTATTTATTTATGCATACAAAATTGGGGCACAGGCCAGAGGTGTGGGGTGAGAGGTTCGCACAGGCCAGAGGTGTGGGGAGAGAGGCTTCCCCAGAGACAGAACATGCCGACTGACGAAGCACACTGCTGAGGGGAGCAGCGGGCAGGTCAGGAGCGGTCTGCTGTGCCCTGTGGGTCACCTCCAGGGCAGGGGATGGAACTCGCACTGAAGCGGTCTTGGCCAGCTTCGCAGTGCTGTGCTCTAACTTGCTGCGCCACCAGGGAGGGCCCTGACTTTTTTTTTTTTAAGTTCGTTTATGCATATAAGAGCCAGGTACAGGCCAAAGGTGCAAGGGGTTGAGAGGATTCACCAGAGAGACAGAGTAGAGAGCAGGACAGGCAGACTGACTGAAACACATGTCTGAAGGGAGCAGCAGGTGAGACAGGAGGGGTCTGCTGCGCCATGTGGGTCACCTCCCTGGCCTGGGATTGAACTCCTGCTGCAGTGGCTACTGATAGCTTGACAGCGCTGAAACTTCACCCCTTGTACCACCAGGGAGGGCTTAAACCTCCTGACGTAAACCTCGCTGGAGAGGTGGGGGGTGCCCAGCAGGCTGTTCAGTCACTCTTAGAATTCCTCTGCCCCTAAATCACATAGCCCAGCACCATCCACCATTCACCAGGTACCTTCTTCATCTTTTTTTTTTTTAAAGATGTAATTATTCATGCATACAAGTACTGGGGTACAGGCCAGAGGTGGGGGGTGTGTGAGAGGATTCACCAGAGACAGAGTGGGGAGAACAGGGCGACTGACTGCAATACACAGGGAGACAGAGGTCTGTCCCGCCCTGTGGGTCAGCTCTCCGGCTGGGCATCAAACTCATGCTGCAGTGGCTTCGAACAGCTTCATCTCTCTGAGTGCCCGGCCACCCACGGGCTATTGTGGCTCGGGTGTGCTCCTGGGAGCCGAGCTGCCTCGGGCAAGTGAGGAAGGACAGTGCTTAGACAACCGGGTCACTGCTGGTGGGCAGACACAGAGCCTGCCCTGAACTCGCCACGTCCCTAGGAGGGAGCTATTTTTATTTTATAAAGACAGGGAGATAGAGCCTCGGTGCAATGAAAGTCCAGGTGATGACAGTCAGGAAAGGAAAGAGCGGATGTGGACCCAGTTCACGCTGACCCAAGAGCCCCTAGGCTTAACCAACACGTGGGGTTACCCCGGAGCACCCTGAAAGCTGCCCCACCCTTGAGGCTGGGGTAAGGGCCACCTCTGTTACACTCCTGTGACCTATGCCATCACAATTGTCCCCAGCTATATAACCTGGGGTTGCCCAGGCCACTGTAAAGCTGGGTGTGCTGGAAGTGGGGGGCACCTGCCCCTCCATGTGCAGCCTCCCATGGACACCAAGACACAGAACCTTCCCATCACCCACACCCAGCCTCACAGCAACGCCAGGCCCCAAGGCCACCCGTGCAGCCAGTGCCACTGCAGCCACCACTGCCAGAACTGTAGCCAGAGCTGCAGCCGGAGCTCCAGCCAGAGTCCAGCCGGCCACGGCAGCCCAGCTGCCTCCTCCAGCCAGACGCCCAGCCCCAGCCCGCCGCCCAGGAATCACAAACACGCCATGCACGCCCACCACTGTCGCCTGCGGCCCACCACCCACGCCAGCAGCTGTCCCAAGAGGAGAAAGCCCTTGGAAGGAAAGGTGACCAGGAGGAGGGTGGTGAAGAAGGGCCAGCGCGGGCACAGAACAAAGAGGCGGAGCGCAGGTACCATCGCGAGAAATGCCCTCCCAGCAGGAGGGAGGGCCACGGGGCCCCAGATGGGCAGGGCAGCTGGCCAGACCTGGGCACAGTGCAGGCAGATGCAGCGGGCACGCCAGCCAGGGGGCAGAGGAGACAGTCACCAAGCGGTGGGCTGGGTGGTGGGCTGGACGGATGGGCGCATGGTGCGCTGGCTCTGGCAGCAGGAAACCCGTCGGGTTAACGGGTGGACGCACGAGGACCTTGACCACAGTCTCGGTTATGCCCACGCCCCTATTGGACAACTGAGCAGTCCACACTGTACCCCCAAAAGTTAAGCGCCTTTATGAAGTACTGATGCTTCCCCTTGCTCGCCCCTCAGGACAGAAGCACACCTGAGATGTACCCATGGCTTGTTCCTGCGTTGGTTTCGCTCGGTGGAGAAAGGCCATCGCGGGGATGCCGGGCGGAAGCCAGACTGCGCAGGAACACGTCACTCAGCGACTTCTACGCAACGATGATTAAAGCGTGCACTGATGGCTGTCCTGGCGTGGGCTTTCTGACTTCACCAGGGTGCACACGCGGGGTACATAGATGCACACACGGGGTGCGTGCACACACGGGGGTGCACACACGGGGTACATAGATGCGCACACGGGGTGTGTGCACACACGGGGGGTGCACACCGGGGTACATAGATGCGCACACGGTGCGTGCACACACGGGGGGTGCACACCGGGGTACATAGATGCACACACGGGGTGCATGCACACACGGGGGTGCACACCGGGGTACATAGATGCGCACACGGTGCATGCACACACGCGGGGTGCGCACACGGGGTACATAGATGCGCACACGG